AGAGAAAGACTGAAAAGACGACGCAAAATAGGAGCCAGTTCGGGAGCACACATTTTGAGAACGATGGGTGGCATACCGTCCGGACCAGGTGGTTTGGTTGCGTTCAGAGAGCGCAATGTTTGGCAACTTTTCCTAGTCCCGATATGGGATATAAAAGGGTTGCCAGTAAAGAATAAAGAAGGTGGAGGTGGTGGTTACATTAATGATCACTGTGAGGACTCTAATAATAAACTCTTTGAGCTTCCGGCAGAAGTGTAAGATAAGTCGACGGAAACGAACATCAGCATTTTTTATATTGGATTTGTTGACAAGGTCAGTTACAGTCAGTCAGGTAGACTAGCTGATGCATGGTGTAATGTCCGCATCACTTCAATACCAAAGGAATAAAAGGGAAAGTCTCGGCCTAATACTCTATGGTCCGTATTATTCAAGGCTTCTGAGCTACGTTTGTTGAATTGGATGCAGAACTATCTCACTGACTGATGTCAGTTCACGTGTCTTAATGACATTAGGTCTTCCACGGTCAAATTATTTTCATACTTAAGAATGCCGATCGTGTAGTGGCTGCTAATGGTTACAACAGGATCATTTTCCTGAACCCCTTTCATCAGTAATAAGTTCCATGGCCTTAAAATGGTATAGATTATCAAACTGCTCATTCTTCGCTAAATCCGTAGAGCTGAGCCAAACAGAACGTAATCCATTCGTCTGAAAAAGGAGATATTTTCAAAGTGAAAAGCGGTTACTCATTGTCAGAAAAATTATTGCTGCTGAGATTGCTCAATGCAAAGTCTACGACGTTATCATCCCTTATATGCCAAATGAAATCTTGTAAGTTTTTTACCGTTCAAACTTAAATTGAATCCATCGTCATTTCAATTACTCACAACAGAATGCATTCTATGGGGAAGTGAATAAGTCAAAAAATCAAAACAACAATAATGAAATCAATCTTTGGTTGCCCTTAGAAGGGCAGTTTCTACTTTCTCTCTCGTCGTGATGGTCATTTCCGAGTTCCTTAAGTAAACGATTACCACTGGTGACAGTTATCGAACCTGATATGATAATAATAAATTCTGATTCATCGAAACATGAAGAATGCGCATATTCGCTTTGGTGGCCTACATCGGTTAACCGGCATTTGTGTTCCGACTCATGTGTTTCTGCAATGTTTCAGGCAAATCTTCGAGTCAGTCTCTCTCTCACACACATACACGCATCGCATAGCAAGAAACAGGGCGCATAATCGCTCACTCACTTCTGGGTCTCAAATGCCAAAGTGCCCAATTCGTGCAACACGAAAGGGTCGTTGGGACTGAGTTTGTACGCCTGTCGGAGGAACCGTCCGGCCAGTGTACGATTGTTGCTTGCGCTGTATTCAATACCTATGTACATGATGGGAATGTGAGACCTGAGAAAAAAGCAACAAAAGACGGACAGAAAAAACTGATGCCTCACTCATCACATAAGGCAAAGCATTGAGGAATGAATAAAAACCCTGAAAGATTTGTATTGTCCCAGGGTTACATGTGAAGATTGATTTGCAACCGACCAAACAGTAAATAACTATTTACCTGCAAACAAAACAGATAGGACAAAACACGCAGCGTATATGCTGCAGAAGCGTGTATATCTAAGTTCAAAAATGTCGCCACGCCGGCTGAAATGAAACTTTGGAGATGCCGCAGATTCACATACGCCTAATCCTGCAGCAAAGTATCGCTGAAAAACCTAAAAACAAATTATTTCTGTGTTCGGAAGAAGTGTTCGTGTGCGTGTGTAATTGACCCCATTTGAAAGGACAAGTGCATCAGATGGGTAACAAACAGATACGCTGAGGTATGATCATCATCATACCACAGCAAAACACAGCGAAGCGAACCGAATTAATCGCTGCCAAACTCGCAATGCATACAAGGTTAATGGTAAAGTTTAAGATAGACAGGGAGTGAACCCACTTCGAGGGAGGGAGAAGAAGGTAAACCGCTATGGTATACTCACAGAGTGCACAATCGA